GAGCACCGCGCAGGACCCGCCCTGCCCCCCCGCGCCCCGCGGAGCGGGTACAAGCCGGGCGGCGGTGTTCCCCCCTCTTCTCCTCCCCACTCCCACCCGGGCATCTCTCCCCGTGCGCCTTCCGGGAGACGCGCAGCTCCGGGCTCTTCCCGGAGCTCATCTCCCAAAATCATCACCCCTGCCCTCAAATGATGAGCTGACGCCTAAAAAACAGCGCGGATCTGGGGGTGTGCTGGAGCAGAGGAGGAGCAGCTGAACGATAAATGCATATTTATATTATAATAATTATTATTATTATTTTCAAATGGTTTTTCTCGGCGGTCGCCCCGTCCTGGCTGAATCCCCTCTTTTTTTTTTTTTCCTCCCAAAAAATCCTGCAGAACAATTCGTTGAGAAATCCTCTTGCGCCCAGCCTCTGAGTGACTTATCCAGCCTGGATCCTCACGGGGATTTTAACACCAGCCCTTCCTCCCTGTGCACCGAACCCCTCATCCCCACCACCCCCATCATCCCCAGCGAGGAGATGGCCAAAATCTCCTGCAGCCTGGAGACCAAAGAGCTCTGGGACAAGTTTCACGAACTTGGTACCGAGATGATCATCACCAAATCCGGGAGGTAAGGCCGGGCAGCCCCGCGTTCCCTCCGGGCAGCTTCCTAAACGTGGCTTTGGAAGGGGAGGAAAAAAAAAAGGCAAGCCAACCAAAACCCCCCAGTTTTTATTTTGGGAGAGCAGCACGGATGGGGCTAAGGGGAGGGGGAGGAGGAGGGTGAAGCCCCTTAATCGCCGCCGCGCTGGTCAGCAGCACCTCGGCGGGCTCAACCCGGGGCTGCGATGCGCGGTGCGGCGCGATGATGCGCGGTGCGCGGAGCCCCGCAGGGAGGAGAGGGAGAGGCGGCGGCGGAGTGCGGTGCGGTCGCTTGAAACGAACCCGGGGGGGGGGGGTGTCCCGGCGGCTCTGGAGAAATGTTTTTTCCCTAATAATTTGGTCTGTGGTTAAAAAGCTCCTTCGTGCGGTGCAGTGATTTCGCGGGGCTGGGTGGGTACGGACACGGGGAAATGCGGGGTCGTGGGGAAGTAATTCAGTCAGGGCTCGGCTTGGTTTGCTTTGCTTTTCTCTCTGTTGCAAATAATGTGCAAAAGAATCCCAGGCTTTCTCGTCGACTCAAACCATGCCGCTTTCTCAGCAAAGCTTTTGGGGTTTGGGTCAGTCAAATGCAGCCTGCAGGAGCGGAATGACTTCTTGGGTTTTGTAATGCCCAGAGTTACTTGTTATTAATGTAGTTCCCTGATGATTTTTTTTTTTTTCTAACTAGCGAGCTCAACCAGTATGTGTTTTAAAAAATAATTTTAAAATGTCCGTATGAAATCTACAATTTGAAGTTTAAAATTTTAAACTGTCCAGAGTTATTTATTTCTGGTCTATGGCATAACCTTACATTTTCAAGTCGCGTTTTGCCAAAATTTAAGTGAAGAAAGGAAAGTTTAGTTTTGAAAACTCCTCTCAGAAATACCATGAGCAGGCTTAAAAGAACATGCATCTAAAATATGTGAGAACGTTAACAGAAATAATTTCTGCAATATTTCGCTCACACTAGTATGAATCCCACAAACAAAAAATAGTCTATGTTTCTAAGGACTTATGTACCTTAGGTGCAAATATTTTCTGAAATAGTTGTGTGCTTTTAACTAACATTAACAGTACATTTCTGTTTTACTTTTTCACTTTCAACATTTTTTTCTTTTTGATTCCAAAAAATTGTTCTGATTTCAAGCTGTTCTTTCTGTGCATATTAGAGAGATACACAGGATTTAACTTGTATCATACTGAAGCAGAATTGCTAGATGCTTTAATTTTTTTCGGGTGGTTTAAATATAATTCTTACTTTTAGCAGCTTTTCAGAAAGTCTCTTATTTCTGTTTTCCATCTGTGTATTTATTTTCTGATTTGCCTTTATTTCAGGAGAATGTTTCCTACGATCAGGGTTTCCTTCTCCGGAGTGGATCCTGAAGCCAAGTACATTGTGTTAATGGATATAGTTCCTGTGGACAATAAAAGATATAGATATGCCTACCACAGGTCTTCCTGGTTAGTGGCTGGAAAAGCTGACCCTCCACTCCCTGCAAGGTTTGTAGATTTTACCGCTGGCCTTTCTTTTATTTTGTTTCTCTTTTCCCCCCTTTTTTCCTTCAAGAAATT